CCTGCTTATGCATTTACTGTAATATACTTGTATCATTATTTTAGGGTGCTCTCTAAAAACAAGTTATGAAACATTTACTTGTACGTGGGATGCTGCGTTCTGCGAGCAGAAGCTTCAGACACCTCCTGCTTCTGCAGTTCCACACCATCCAGGTTCATGGAAGTACGCTGTAGAAGGTTCACACAATGACAGACTGCCTGATGACTCAATTCTCAGAAACGCATCCTTGTCCTTAATTGACACATGGCCGTACACATGCAGCAGTGATACTGCAGGAACAGTGATGTGTTCACAGAGATGAGTCTGTGAATGCTTGCTGTCTGTCCAACTTTGCTGAATGTTTGAAAAATGTTCACAATACAATATGGTAACTGCACATTGACAACCAGGGCAGAATCTTGACTTTCCTTAACACCCACCACCTATCTGTGGTTCTTATGCTGATGAGAGCTTGAGGGTGACAGTAGTGAGTTCCCCTAGAGGACAAGGGACGCCACTGGCCAGGACAAGCCCTGCAGAGCTGGTATGCCCCTCTGTCAGAGCCTTTCCTTCCATGGCTCACTTCTTGCCTAGCCACACCTGCTTCATCTGCTCTCAGGAGCCTTTTCAGAACCAGGACTGGCTCTGTGCAAAGCCCAAGTGAGGAGTCTCCCATAGAGGAGTCTCCCATAGAGGCTGCCCCACTGGAGGGACTTCAGAGCACCAGGAAGTTCTCAGCCCCTCTTTCCTAGGCTGCTTGCTTGGCCTTGCCACTATGACCGGTGTCCTGATCTGCTGGACTGTAAGCTCCATGGAAGCCAAGAGCCCAGTCACCACCATGTTAGCAGTGTGCAGAGCATACCCAGAACACAGGCAGTGCTGAAAACTTGTTGATGACAAGCCTTTCCTTAGCATAAAAACCAGAGTAAGCAAAGTGTGGGGATTTAAAGTGGATAAGCACAGACAGACCGAATGAGTAAAACCTGGATGTGTGGGGGAGAGATATGCACTGTTTTGGAAGTTAATAAGCGAGACAAAAATAAATGGGCTAGAACTTTCCAAATATTTACAATTGGAATACTGCCTTTGGCACATCTCAAATCTATCCTGGAAAATTTGCTAGGAATATAGATTTGCATATGGGCAAGAGCATGTCACGCTTTCAAAATGATGGAAACAAGCCCTGTTCTGCTATCTGGAAAAGAAATGAAAGGGCAGATGATTTGTGGCCAGTGGGGGAACAAGTTTCCTGAAAGGATGAAACCGATTCTGTTGGGAAACTGTACTATTCTTTCAACTCCTTATATGTTGGAAAATTTTCAAACTAATAAGTTGGAGGGAAATCTATCAGTACCATAAAATTCCCACTCAGACCTAGAAATATTAAAAAGATATAATGGTTTTCTGCAGTGTGTGAAGACAAATTGAGATATAAAAACTAAGAGAAACTTGAAGAAATAGCCACGGGATGGGAGAGATCATGTTTTCAAGCTTTAAGATAAACTATGATTTGAATAAACAGAAACCTGAGCAGCAATAAAAGCAAAAGAAAAAAAAACCAGAGACTACAATTTCTGAATTTTACTTCATCCTGGTGGTTATGAAAAATCCCATACCGCCACTTACAGTATTTTCCATGATTTAATCAGGATTGTGAGATTGTACTTTCTAGTGAATAGTTGCTTTGGAAATTAATTAAATACCTATGGATTGCTGAGTCCAATAAATCTGCTTCCAAATAAAAATAATAGTTTAAAAAGAACACAACAGAAAAAGCAAAGTACCAAGATTAGAATAAAATAGATAATATGTTTTTTGTGCATAAAATAGCAAAATAGAAAAAAATGTACAAGAGAGAATCAATAAAATGAACAGTTGGTTGTTTGGAAAAAATAAAAATAAAACAGACAAACATCTGGTGGGACGAAGTAACATCAAAAATTGCCTTCCTAAAAGACATGAAAGATAATTTTATGGACAAAGGACACATAACCACAGATCTACAGAAGTTAAAAAAGAGAAAAAGTATGTGAAACATTTCACCAAGAAATTAAAAACCTAATGGATACAATTCTAGAAAAATACAATTTACCAGATCTCACAGAAAAAGAAAAAGCCTAAGGGTTCTAAAATAATTAAATGAGCTAAATGATTAAGACCAGATCATTTTCAAATGATTTACTGAGTTCTTACACACAAGAAACAACTCCCAAAATACTTCTATGAAACCAGGGACACTTTGACATAAATCTAAATCAGGGAAGTGTAAAAATAAAGAATATAAATGTAAGCATATAACCCCTTACACTAACAAGTCCAACCTAGGAAAATAGAGAGATGGAAAGACAATATAACAAAATCAGGTGCCTCTAAAGCATGGGAGATAATTTAACATTAGAAGATTTATGAAGATTATTTATCAAATTAACAGAATAAAGAAAAGTAGGATCATTTCATAAGATGCAAAAACTTCACTTGATAAAATTTATTATCTAATAATTTAAAAATATTAAATAAGTGAAGCTTCTCTTACATACTTTGGTAAAGTATTACCAAAACTTCTGCAAGCATCAATCTTTATAGTGAAACGTTAAACTAATTCTTTTTAAAACTGGGAATAAGACAAAAGGTAACTTTTATGATTACTTCTATGCAAATCATATGGGAGGTCTTACATGAAAAGTATAAAAAACAATAGGAAAGGAAGAAATAAAAAACTGTTATTTGCCAATGGTATGACTGTTTATAAAACAAAGCACAGAGAATCTATGGACATGCTTAGAAGAAAGCTTTATAGTCTAGTTTACACATAAACACCTACTGTATGTGTAATAAACCAGCAAAAACATGAAATACGATTTTTAAAAATAGTCTCATAAGAGCAATAACAAAATTATAAAGCAACCAGTAATACATCCATAAAAGATGCACTTTGTATGGAGAAAATGATAAAACTCTGAAACATATTTCTACATCATATTTATACATCAATTTTCCTGCAAATGCACATAGATATATTTTCAAAGAGAATTTTAGCAGGTTTTTAAAATTTTGGTAAAATGTACTAACAAAGCATTTCTCATTGTAACCATTTTAAGTGTAAAATTCAGCAACATTAAGCACAGCCCCCCTTGTGTGTCCACTCCTGGCCTTTCTCAGTTTCCAAATTAAGATCCTGGACCCATCAAATAACAGCCTGCATCCTCCTCTTAGTTCTTTAACACATTTCCTGCTTTCTGTCTTTACCAAGTTCAGTAACCGAGGTACTTCATCTTAACTCAGTCTTATACTATTTTTCTTTTGTGTTTGACGATTTTGTTTTGTTTTGGAGGAATTTGACAAACTGATTCCAAAACTTATATGGAAGTACAAAGTAGCCAACATAATCCTGAATTCTATTTCGGTTATAGTAACACGATATCATACTGATATTTTATTGTAAGGCCGATTATATTGTAACAGTCGATTGCTGGATGAAGGCTATGCAAACAGATGAGGAACAAAATTGACCCCAGATGAACTCCTGCCTATAAAGAAATTTAATAAATTCCAAAGTGTGCAGTACCAACCACTAGGAAAGGATGGTCAGTTCATTAAATGATGCTAGAAAAACAGACTGAGGGAGAAGAACTGGAATTAGATCCCTTTCTCAAATCATAGGCAAAATGTTTCCAATAGATTCAAGAATTAAACACAAAAGGTAAAACTCTAAAAGATTAAAAATACATATTCCATGGGCTCAGAGTAGACAGCACAGAATGTTAAACATAAAAGATTGATAAACTATAAACTAAAACCAGTATTAATTCTTGTTTTATGGTTTTGGAGACAGAGTCTCTCTGTGTAGTCCAGGCTGGCCTTGAATTTATCATATAGCTGAAGCTAACCATGAACTCATGACAGCTAACCTCTGGCCTCAGCCTCTGAAGGGTTGAGATTCTGTGCCATCCTGCCTGGCATGATTTCAATAATTTAAATGGTATAGGATAAGAATTTGTGTTCATCCAAGCCATAAACCACTTGACACCATAAAGTGTAAGAAAAGTCATGAATTTGCAAAAGATAATTGTAATATATACAGTGAAAAAGGACCAAAAAATTCCTAAAAATCATTAAAAATAAGACATATACATGTGAAAAAAATTGGCATAACACATGACAGGCATTTCAAACACAGGACATACAAATGGAAAATACAAGTAAAATCAAGACATTCTTCAATACAGAAATTATAATTTATAATCTTGGTGATATATATATATATATATATATATATATATATACATATATATGTATATATATATACATGTAAATATATGTATATGTCTTTTTGAGACAGGGTCTCGCTATGCAGTTCAGGCTGGCCTCGAACTCATTTTATAACCTAGACTGACCTCGAACTCACAGCCATCCTTCTGCCTCAGCCTCCTGAGTGCTGAGATTACAGGAGAATGCCACCACACCTGGCTTGAGAGATCTTATTATTACACTGACAAAAATTAAGAAGTCTGAGTCTACTCAATAGATCTATATAACCATTTTGAAAATGTTGCTTTGGCACTATCTAGGACAGTTGAACACTGGGATACAACACAACATCAGGTCCACTTCTAGGCAGAGTTGTTTTACTTGGCAAGGTGTGTAGTAGGTGCCTGAACGTCAATTTCACATACTTACTGTTTAGTACCTGTGTGTGTGTGGTACTGGGGTTGGAGCCCTGGGCCCTTTAAAATTTCTATTTTGTGACAGGATCTCACTAAGTCACCAAGTTGCCCAAGCTGGGCTCAACTTTGCAATCTTCCTGCCTCAGCCTCCTAGAGTGCTGGGATTACAGATGTGCACCACCACACCTGGCATACTCACTGGTTTTTTTTTTTGCATATACTACCAGATATTTCAAACAAGAGAACATTGCAAACATTTCAAACAAGAGAAAATTGCACCGTATCAAGTCTCTATAAACTTAGCCTCAATCGTAAAATACCGAAGGCAAGAGACTGCAGTACTCAGTCACCCTGTACCTGGTTCTCAGCTTGTCACCCGCAGATGCAGCCCAGCTTTGGAGCAGCCCGAGGGGTCGCTTTTTCTTCTGGTGCTTCATATGTTGAGCCAGCAGTTCCCATGCTACAACCTGCATGGAGAATTTATTACACATCTCAGAAGTGTCAAGAGTCTTTCAAAATTGCATATAGAGAAAGTCTTTGTATCATCAAATTTCTTGAAAGAGATCAAGTACAAGATAATAGGAAATCAACAGTGGCTACCATAATATACCTGGCTTTGAAGTCCTGTGTTGCTTTCATTGTTTTGTTTTGGTTGGTTGTTTTGTTTGATTTTATGATGTCTGGTCATGTGGGCAGCTATTCTGAAGATGGTAAGAGGCACTACAGTAGCCATTGTTGATTTCCTATTATCTGGTTTTGAAATCCTATGTCACTTCCACTGTTTTGTTTTGAATGGCTTTATTCTGTTATATTGTGTGTGGCTTTCTTCTCTTTAAAATTAAAGAAGAAGAAGAAGAAGAAGTCAAGTATGAGACCCTATCCTTCTGGGGCCTCCAGTTCCCCCGATAAACGCGTGCTGTCTATCCCATGACTCTCCACCCTCCCTGTGGCTGACCTCTACCTAGTCTCACATGTCCTGCTCTCTCTCCCCGTCCTTGAGAACTGGCCCAGAACCACGGTTTTAGCTGATGCTAAAGATGGAACCTGCTTGCCTTCCTTGGTCAGAAGTTTGGTCTCTTCTCTTTTTTGCCTTGGACACCATCTAATCAACTAAGCCTTCGAGAAATCATGTTAAAATGTACAAATAAAGTAATCTATCAAGTACCCTCTGGAACATCAAAGCCATAATTAGAGCCTAAAATCCTGCATGCTTTCCAGACTTGTTCAAAGATGTCCTTGGCTCGCCCTCTGCAGAGGGAGGCTGGGCTGCATTTCAACATGTGCCAATACATGAGCGAGGCCTCTGTGGGCCAAGGTGACCCCACCAAACCTCCACAGCAGGAGTGAGCCCGTCCCAACCCACAGGATGCCAACCCACAGGATCACAGGCTCACAAATTGTTAGTGTTCCAAAAATTTGGGGGTGATTCTTGATCAGTAGAGAGCTGATCCCTTTTCTTCCACCTATCAGCTTTAGAATACACCTCCTTTGTTTCATACCACACATGGTCTTATTTAGGTTACATTAAATGTTACAGAGGCCTTCATTCAACAGCTTATCATCAGGATTTTTTGGGTTCATATTGATAGAATCCTATCTGTTTGCTTAACAGCTGTATAATACTCTTTGGTTAACTTAGCTAATTAAACATTCTCACTCAGTAAACTGCTTGTTTCCAATTCTATAGTATCCTAATAACCTTGAGATCAAGATATTCAAACAAATAACATTGTCCTTTTCTAACCATCTGAGAATAAATTCCTGCACACTGTGAACTCAACATGGGCATCCTTAGAGAGGTGGACCTGCATGTGACAGGGAGGCTGAAGAGGTCTCAGGGTATTTTTGCCTGGGATAGTTTTGTTGGCACCTGCGGGAGAGGCAGGTGTGCATTTGTGGGACAGTGCCGAGCGGGAGATGGTGCTCTACCCTCCTGCCAAAGCCTGTGTGGTCTGACGAACACAGGCTGAGAGCCCAGAGCCTAACTGAATTATACCAAGGCTGTCAGGCTCTCCAGTCCCAGGCCTAGGGAAGGCTCAGCCTCCCTGCTCCCTTTAAAAGCCAGGAACTTTATTCTAATGCCCAGTGCCTCAGCCTGCAGTCTTCCTAGCTGTGACTGGTCCTTCAGCCTGGCCTCAGTATGCACTGGAGGCTGGTGTGGTAATTCCGTGGCATAGATGCAGGCACTGGTGTGACTCGGTACGGTTTTGCTTTTGCTTTTTTATAAACTACTTTCCTTGAAGTATTGTCTTGCACTTTGAAATTATGACTTTAGATGAGTTGTACGGTCCAAGATTTCATTTTAAAAGTTGTAAAGGGAACTCTTATAAAACATCTACTGTAATGCATCAGGTCGAGGGAGACACAGAATCATTGGATACGGGTCAAAGAACCTGAGCATTTTCAAAGCTGCTGCTATACGAAATAAGTGTGAAAATCCAACGCTGCCAACAACGGGGAGAACGAATTAACTTTAGGTTTAAAATGAAAACAATACGGTGGTGAGGCTCAGCTCCACGGATAAATCACTAGATTAACATTTGCATCATTTGCTTCTTGCTAATCTATGAGATTTATGGCGGCTCAAACTTCATCTCCCTCTACTATAAAAATGACATAATTCCGAGTATGAAACAATTGTTCTCGCTGACCCCCACCCTGCGTTCTTCCCCTCGCCTGCTTCTCCTCCACTGCACACACAGAGTACCACCCCTTCCTTGCCTGCTGTGCGGTCCCCCTGTCCGAATGTAAGCGCCAAGAGATCGGCTAGTCCCTCACCACCGGGCAGCTCAGGAGAGAGCTGCGGCTGAGGAGTCGCTCCTGAATGAGTGGGTGGATAAACGATTCCCTCTCTGGTTCTCTTCTAGAGGGTTCAGTCCCTGTTTCCACCTTTCTTATTTAAGCAAATTAAATTGGGAAAATTAAAGCACTAACTAGAATTAAAATTAGGATGACACAATAATCTTGTTCCAGTGGTAAACTTAAGAGGAGAAAGAGAAAAATTGAGTTCTGGTAATTCCACAAAAGCAGAGATGCAATTGTAGGGTCTTTCTTCATTTTTCTGGGTCATGGGACAAATCAACATGTGTTGGGAGCCACCACATTGCCGAGCCGCCGCATATAGCGATCATGCGGCCTGTGGTAAAGAGTAAAGCCTGAGTTAGATTACCCCTCCCATTGAGCACGTTAGTTTCCTGCTTACCGCGTAAACAACCCGCTCAATAATATGTTAGCCAATCAGCTTGCCTTGCTTACTTTAACATGATTGGACACTGTATCCGTATATATACTGGTGCCACCCCTGGGGGGAAGTAGAAGCCCGGAAGGAGCCGCGGAGAGCGGACCGGTAGAGGCTTCGGAGCGAAGCACGGAAGGAGCCGCGGGGAGCGGACCAGAGGAGGCTTCGGCTGGGAGCGATCCCAGGGCAGGCTGTACGGAGAGAAAATAAAAGAAAAGGTTGTCCACTGCCAGACTTTGTCGTGTGTCCTTCCTGCCGGCCGGGAGCGACATCGACAAACATGCCCTTTAAAATGAGGTTATTTTCTTTTTATTTCCTCTTCTTCTCCATCATCATCTTCTTCTTTTTCTTCTTCTTTCTCTTCTCCTTTTTTCCCACTCCTCCTCCTCTTCCTCCTGCTCTTTCTCCTGCTCCTCCTTCTCTTGCTACCCCCTTGGTATGATTAAATGATGGAAGTTATCAGCTATCATGATATGTGGAGTTAGGTTTCTAAGTCCAGTATTGTGCTTGACAAATTATTAACAGACAACAAAGACAGACTGGGCACCCCGCAGACTGAGTATGCAATAAGGATATGTTAGTTTTACTTCATAGGTAAGTTCCTGAATATGTTATAACATACTATGCAGTAAGTTTGTTTAACTTTCTATTTTAAAATAATCATAGATTCACAACAAGTTGTGCAATTAAAGTCATACAGAGGGGTTTTCTCTAGCCATTTTGTAGAATCTCCCTACATGATGGGATCCTTGAGATAAAATAGTGATTATCAAAACTAGGAAAATTCAGGAACCTTTCTTACCCCTTGAATCGTTTAGCTGCAGGAGAGATTTCATTATTTTAAATGGACCTCATGGTAGATCCTTTTTTATCAGTTTGGACGTTACTTCTGCAGTACCAATGATTACATCTTTCTGCACACCTGCTATTCACCGGATTTCTTTAAGATAACTCACAATATAATTTCTTTCTAGATGGTTATATGTGGTGTTTCTGTGGCCACTTACACTGCCCTTTGGTGCTAATTGTGGGTACTATACCCTTTATCTTGCTGTACAACTGCTCAGAAGCCCTCTCTTAAGAGACCTCTGGGGTGACCAAGCCATCAGAATAGTCATGCTTATTTCTTCTGAAAAAGATCCCATGTGCAGGAGAAATCAAGTTAATCTACAACCAGTATTTGGAAACTATGAGTGTGAGCAATTGTGCAGAATGACGACATTAGAAACACCCATTTATAATAAATATCATATGCATCATGCAACGCCGATTATGTAACACCAATAAAAGTTATTTTTTGGGTCAAATTGCTTTTCAAGGCATCTATGAAACAACCAGCATTTCTGCACACCAAGTATTTCACTGATTTATGCCAGGTACAGTTGAAACTTGGATTAAAATGTCTAACAAGTAGTGTTTCCTGCCAAGGCAGAAACACTTAGAGCCAAATGGAATGGAAAAATACGATTCCTAAGAAAAAAGCACACGATAATTGTTCTGCACAAAGGATGCACCCGGCAAGGGGCCACACTAGGACCTGCACCGAACAGGGTGATGGAGTCACTGACTGTGGCAGTCTCTCTGACCTCAGGGGCCCAGGTCGTCCTCTGAGGACTCCAAGGCAAGACTGGCTACATGATTGGGGCCCAGGCCAAAGTGATAATGGGGGTACCTTTTGTTCAAAATTTATCAAGAATTTAAAGAGGGTAACATCAGAGCAGGAAACCAGCAGGGGCCCTTCCAAGCACAGAGCCTGTACCACCATGTAGATCTTGTAGAGGAAATTGGCCTTGGTCCTAGAGATTCCAACAGGATTGCCATAGAAAACACAGGACACCCCGTTAATATTTAGGCACCCAAATATTGCATGGGACATACTTACACTGAAAATTTGTCGTTTACCTCAAATATGGATGTAACTTTTGTCTTATGTTTTCATTTGCTATATCAGGGGTCACTTGGGGGTGCAGAGATCTGGGAAACGCAAAGTGAGTGTGATTCCCCACCAAACGTGTTAGCCCAGGGTCACACAGCCAGAAGTGGAAGAGCTAGGACTTAAACCTGGAGTCCACACTCTTAATAATTCCACACTTGAAACTACACCTACCATATGTCAAGCTCTGTGCCCAGCACTGGGAGCACCAAAACAAAACAATGCAGGGGCCCATGGTTTAGGCAGACAGACAGGAACAGGCAGCCTGGTGGCACAGTGTGCAGAGGGGACTAAATGATCTGCGCTTCGAAGTGTGGGATAGTTGTGTAGCTATACCTTACAGGGACAGTGCTCCCGGCACCTTTGTGTCTCTCTGGGCCTCCTGCCCTCTCCCTGTGTATCCACACACCTGGGCCATGGAAAGGACTCCTGTGCCACACACCTGCCTCCCGGCTGCAGGCCCAGCTGCTGGGGTGCAGGCCGAACACAGCAGCCTTGCTGGAGCCCTCCTAGTCTATGCATGCAAAGGCACGGCTCCCGCTCCGGTGTCTGGAAATGAAACCGTTTATCAGGCAGAAGCTAGAGCCAGTGGACACGGGGAGAACACAGGGCTCATGATCTAATGGTCACAATGTGGCCTAAATTGCAACCCTACTGTGTGCTGAGCAGCCTACTGGAGTAATTACAACTCCTCGAGGTGCAGGTGATTACTCTGCCAGCCCCAGACCCCCTACACATCATTTCATAGGAAGAGACTCTAAAGCAGAGGCAACACCCAGACTTCACAATTCCTGTGGATGAACACGAACCTGGCTGTCTGAACAATGGAGAGGCCACCTGGCACCCCTTGGAGTGACAGTCCCATGCAGGGACTTTGGTCACCAGGGGCCATCTCTCAGAAATGTTTTAGACCAAAGGAAAGGAATTTTGAGACTCACTCTGAGCCCTCACTCTGAGCTTTGCCCACAGAGCATTCTCTTTGGCTTCCTTCTTTCAGTCATTCACGTTAAAAATAGTGTGCTCACCTTCATTTGAAAAATTGGAGATCCACCCCCCGCCCAACAGCTGTCACTGGGAGCTGAGCAGCTGCTGCTGGCCCCTCTAAAGGAGGTGAGTGTCCCCTGTCTGCCTCAGTTCCGTGGTGCTCGTCGGCCTGCTCTTGGCAGCTGTACTCATGGCCCACAGACCTTAATTTCCGGTCTTCTTGAACTAAAGGAATGAAAAATGCCCAGTCCTCACCCTCTGCCTCTTCCACAGCTGAAGCTGAGGCATGGAGATGCTGGCACGGCCTGGCCAAGGGCACCCGAGAGGAATTCAGCTGTGAGTTCTTCTCACGCTCTGTCCATCCCAGCGCTTATAGCAGGTGCTCTGAGGCCCAGGTGAGGAGACCCAGGAATAACTCCACGGTCAGCTCAGTGACTCTGGCCTCCAGGAAGAGCCCCAGGCCTAGAGGGTAGAAGGGCCACGGAGCCAGCTTTGGGGTCACCATGGAGGATGATCCGTGTTTAGCTTTGTGGCTGGAGTGTAACAAACTGAAATGTGTCCTGGCTGGTAGCTCAGGAGCCACTGAGTTCTGTTGAACTCCCCAAATCTCTTGTGGGCACCTCTACCAGCACAGTTCCACTGCTCCCCTCCTCTCCTGGCTTCTTCCTCCCCTGCTCCCTGCTCCCTTCTTTCCAGCAAAGCACATGTCAGCCCCCCACCCTCACCCTCAACACCAAGCCTGGCCACAATCACAGCACTACCACGCTGCCCTGGAAAAGATGTTCCTTGTATACTTTTCCTTAATTGAAGAGAGAAAGTAACTGAAGTTTTAAATCTGCAGTGAAATAAATAAACGGCAACGAGGAGAACATTAGAAAAGAGATCCTAGGGAATTTTCTACATCTTAAGTAACAAAGAAACCCCTTTGGATGGAAAAAAAGAAAATCCTGCCCCAGTGTTGACTTAAGTTGTTTCAAATTATAATGCTCCTTAAACATGTTCAAATATAAAACTACATATAAACACCTTATGTTTATAGCTCTTGTTTAACTATAAACTATGAAATTAAATATAAGCAAAACTACAAAACCAATGAGATTCAGATCCACAGCCCTAATAGCATGTGGCAGGCTGGGCCTTGTGGCATGAACTTGGCCTTCCCCAGCTGTGGGGGCTCCCCTGGGTGGGGAAGGGGACCCCTCCCACAGCCCCGCTCTGCGGCCTTCCAGCGGCCCATCACAGATTCCCTCGGTGAACACACCTTTTCTTCCCTGGCTGGCTCCCAATGATCGCGGTGATATTATTTGATGCCAATGTGTTTATAAACACCCCGCTCCCACCCTCACACCCAGTTTTACTTTTTAAGGTTTTAGTTACCCATGAGCAATTGTGCCCTAAAAACATGAATTGAAGGAGTCCAAAAATAAATTTTTCTTAAGTTTAAATTACATGGATTGTGGAGTATTTTTGTCACTGTTTCATCTTCTTATGAGTCACTGTGCTAATCCCTTACTATGTCTTATAGATCGATTAAATTGCCTCATAGGTGTATATGTGTGCAGACAAACACAACATAGCTAGGGTCCGAACTACACCTGGCTTGAGACGTCCATTGGGAGTCCTGTAGTATCACCCCCAAGAATAATGGGGAGATGACTGGGCAAAGACAAAGGCTAGAAACCCTTGGCAGTCTCTGGGTAGATGGTTGTCCTCCAAACACCCTCCTGTTAGACTATTTCTGCTTATGTTACCATCAAAATTAAAATATACAATTAACACATTCAAGTCAAGAACTTGTGGACACCAACTTGATCAAAATCATCTCAAAAACTCAGAATCTGCAGAAAACGAAGGCTTCACTCTGGGGAGCAGAAATGTAAAGATAAACAAGTGGCCCCCTTTCTCCAAAAGCTCACACATGGAATTCTTGAAGGGAGCTTTAAATATTTAGATGCTGAAACATCTGGCTTTGAAAAAACACTGGTGCCAGCACTGCATGCGGGTTAGTGGATTTAGAAAAACAGAAGGTCTGTTCAGACTACCTCGGTCAGCTAGGCCATTAAAAATGCTACAAATAATTTTAAAAAATCAGTCAGAGTTTTTTCCTTTCCTGTACATATATCTCTTTTGTTTTCCTCTTCCCTGATTGCTCTGGATAAACTTTTGAGAACTATATTGAGCAGGGGTGGTGAAAGGGAACACACTTGTCTTGTTCCTGATTTTACAGGAAATGTTTTCAACCGTCCTCCTTTTAGTGTGATATTGGCAGGGGGTTTGTCATAAAGGGCTTTTATCATTTTGAGATACACCTATTTTCATCAAGCTTTTTAAAAATCATGAATGGACATTAGATTTTGTCCAAGGTCTTCTCTGCGTCACTTGAGATGATCACGTGATTTCTCTCCTTGCTTCTGTTTATGTGATATATTACATTCTCTGATTTCCATATATTAGGCCATCTTTGCATCCCTCAGATAAAACCAACTCGGTCATGCTGTATGATCTTTTGAATAACTTACTGCATTGTTTGCCAGGACCTTGTTGAGGAGTTTTGCATCTATGTTTTCACTAAGGACATTGGCCTGCACTTCCCTTTTTCCCTTAACTTCTTGTCTGGTTTTGGTGCCAAGGTAATGCTGGCTTCCAGGAATCAGTTTGGCAGTGATTCTTTCCTTTCGATTTCATGGAAAAGTTTGAGGAATATTTAGTTCTGGTAAAATTCTGCAATGAGTCCATCAGGCCCTGGCTTTTTCTTAGCAGGTTATTTTTAATTACTGCCTCTATTTCATTCCCTATTATTGGTCTATTCAGCATTTTGATATCTCCTTGGATAATCTGGGTAATTCATATGTATCTAATAATTTCTCTATTTCTTCCAGGTTCTGTAATTGACTAGAATATAAGTTTACAAAAATAATTTCTTATAAGTGTCTAGGTTTCAGCTATGTCTGTTGTGATTTCACCTCTGTCACTTCTAATTGCATTTATGCAGGGTTTTCTCCCTCCTTTTGGTAAGTTTAGCTAAGGATTTATCATATTTGTTTATTCTTTCAAAGAACCAACTCATGGATTCACTCATTTTTTTCTTTTGGTCTCTATTTCATTAATTTCTACCCGAGTTGTTATACTTTTTGGCCTTCTGCTAGTTTCAGATTTAGATGGTACTTGTTTTTCTAAAACCTTTAGATGCATGATTACATTAGCAATTTGAGATCACTCAATTCTTTTAAGGTGTGCATTAAACGTGTCCTGCAGATTTTGGTATGCCGTGCTCCAGTGGCATGGAGAATTGTTTTTCATCCTGTCACTTTCAGTGCTTATACTTCCTTTTAGAGGAGGTGTGCCTCCGAAAGCAATATAAGGTTGGGTTTTTTAGATCTGATCTGCCAATCTGCCTTCTGAATGGGGAGTTAAGACCAAAAACGTTGAGAGTTATTGTAAGATACTTACTGAATCCTGTCATTGTATTATTTTTCCCATGCTGATTCCTTTCTTTTACCTCCTTTTGTTTAACTCTTCTGCCGGTTAGATGTCTACTTTCCTTTAGGTTCTCCCCTCTAAATTCCCAAAATGAACGACCACATGTGGGAAACGCTTCATATCAACTCTATCGCCCCAAACAAATCTTCAAGTCCTCCTTGAAAGGGGCTCCAGCCCAGGCACCTAAACTTGGTCCCACACACACCCTTGGCTGCCCCTCTGCCCACTAAGGGCTTCCCTGCCTTCCTTAGCCAGGCTGTGCCTGCCTCTCTGGTTTCATTTTGCACAGCTCTTATCCTGCTGTCATCACGGGTCAAGCTGGGTGATGCATCTCTTCTGCAGGTCTCAGAGAGGATCCCGAACTGTTATCTCCTGGTTCTGCTGGGTCGGGTAGCTGTTCATTCCTTCTGGAACCTACAGGAAAGGAGGGCAATCATTCTTTGAGGGAAGCAGAGCTGTGTGATCCACAGCCTTGACTGTGCTGCTATCAGGATCATAGCCCTTTAAAACGGATGCCTTATAGCCATCTAATTGGGTTGCCCAGACTTCATCTCTGAGTTTTGGGCTAAATGAGTAGAGATGTTGAGATACTAGTGGGAGAAAAATGCATCCCAGTGATCAGTGGGACCACCAGTACCCGGAAGGCTGGAACCCCAGTGAAACTGCTCTTCCATTCTTTCTGATTAACTGTTTCCTCTTGGAGCAGAGGGATTCTAGTCCTCACCCCTTGTCATATCTGGATGGATCCCAGGGTCACATTCTAGCACCTGGTATCCAGCATGTCTGAGGAACAATTTGGAATTCTTCCCAGGGATGGGAAGAGAAGGTCAGATCTGGAAGACTAGGATGTACGTGTGTGCATGTGTGCGTGTGGGCGTGTGTGGGATGCATTGGTCTTTGTGCTCTCAGAAAGGCTCTCAGAAAGGCCTTTCTGTCTTAGTCTGCATTACTTCTCTCTTCTCCCACTTTTTATATTTAAGAGAGAGAAAATGTTTTAATGGTTTTAAATATACTTGATTTTTGAAATTCAAAACCATGTTAAATATTGTTAAAGAGTCTCCTACTCAACCCCTTGCCTCAATACTGCTTTCTGGAAATAATCCTTTTTCAGTAGTTTTTGTTTGACTTTAAAGAGAACCTTCCAAGTGCTGAGGTCAAGTAGAGTCTCCTGTCATGCTTCAAATTTGCCCTGTAGCTGGCACGTGCTTTTCTGGAGCGGTTCTATTTTTCCTAGAGTCTTAATGGGATTTTCTTTCTCTTGTTTCAAGAAGAAACATGTGCTTCTTCCAACACAGTAGTGAAATCTTCCTGCTTCCTACTCATGTTATTTGTTTAACAGAAACCACTTCCTTCTCAAAGTCGCTTTTTTGATCCTTTGGCCTTCCTGTCTTAATTTGGACTAATTGTTTCCTGGACTTGCTCATTGCTAGGATCCAGGTATTCCCTGACACATGTTCCTCGCGGGCTAGTTCCAGAAAACCTACATGTCTTGAATTCCTAATTTCAACTGCAAGTGGGTATGCAGTCTTCCCAGCACCATTTATTGAAAGAGTTGCCCTTCAAGACATGTTTTTGGTACCTTTGTTGGGACTCTATTGTTGTCCCTGCAGGGGTTTACCTCAGGATCTATATTCTCTTCTTGTCTCTGTGTCTATTTTTATGCAGTCCCACACTTTTTTATTGACTGGATGGCTTGAAATCAGATACTGTGAGGCTTCCAACTTTGTTCAAGATTGCTTTTCAGGGTGTCATGCAAATTTTAGCATTGTTTGTTCTACTTCCGCGAGGAACATCATTGATACTTTGATAAGGATCACATCAAATCTGTAAATCATTTTGAGTAGTACAGATATTTTAACAACATAAATTCTTCCCAATCAATGAAGATGGTTAACGCTTCCATTTTTTTCTAATGCCATCTTCAATTTCTTTCATAATGTTTGGTAATTTTCATGGTAGAAATCTTTTACTTTCTATTTACTTTTATTCCTATTAATCCAATTTTATTTCTTAAGTTATTGCTAATGGGATTTCTTTCTCATGAAGGAAACCTCATATTTATATTGGTGTATAAAAATGTTACTTTTTTGTACATTGATTTTATATCTTGCAACTTTACAGAATTAATTTTTCAGTTCTAAAAGTTTTGGTGAATGAACTATAGAAGCTTTTCTATATACAGAATCATTTAAACTGAAAACTGGAATAATTTTCAACTCTCACTTCATACAAAAAACAACTCAAAATGGTCACATCTAAACACAGACTCTGAGACTATAAAACTACTAGAAGAAAACACAGGGGGAACACTTCAAGGCATTAGTATAGGCAAGGACTTTTTCTATTACCCCAAAGCACAGAGAACAAGAGCAAAAATAAAGAAACGCAATTGCATCAAATAAAAGTCTTCTGCACAGTAAAAAAAAATCAGCAAAGTGAAGAAGAGATGGCTCATAGAACGAGAGAAAAGATTTGTCAACTATCCATCTGACAAAAGAATAATATTCAAAATGCACAGGGAACTTAAAAAACTTAAGAAAAATAACAGGTAGTTTAAGTTTAAAATGGGTAAACAATCTGAGTAGCTACCTCTCAAAAGAAGAAATACAAATAGCCAATAGAATATGAAAAAATGATTATCATTGGCAATCAGAAAAATGCAAATATCATTGCCTATCAGAAAAATGCAAATACTAGGGAGTACAGTATTTCCTTCCAGTTAGGATGGCTCTTAACAAAACAACAAAAGCAAATGCTGATGAGAGTGTGAAGAAAAAGACCCTGACTAATGACGGTGGGAATGTAAACCAGTGTAGCCATTACGGAGAACAGTATTGAGGTTCTGAAAAAGTGAAAACAGACTTACCCTACGATTCAGTTGTCTCACTTCTGGGTTTATATCCAATGTAACCAAATCAGCATAGCAAAGAGGTACTTACAACCCATATTTATTGCAGCACTGTTTATAACAACAAAGCTGTGGAATCAACCCACATGCCCATCGGCGGAGGGACAGGTAAAGAAAATGAGGTACACATTCACAGTGGAATATTATTCCTCTGCAAAGAAGAATGAAATCTTGTCATTTTCAGAAAGACAGGACTGGAGGACACTATGCTCTGGGGGGAAAAAGCCAGACACAGAAAAACAAGCTTTGTCTCACATGTGGAAGCTGAAAAAAGTCAACGTGAACACAAAATGGTAACTCCTAAAGGTTGGAACAGGTGGGGAGAGGGAGGAAAAAGGGAGGCTGGGACTGACTTGTGCAGGATGTCTGCATTTGTGGAAACATCACCCCGAGCCCCATTATTTTGATATATATGTATCAAAACTAAAATACTTTAGATAAATATATAAATAAACTCTTAATTCCTTTTAGGCTTCTCTGAAGGGCGTCAGAAAATGCACGGCTGGTGAGCTTACTGAGTATCTGAGTGTCTGTCTTTATTTTGGTTTATATTGACTGGCAGGTAGGCCAGCTACGAAAATCTACACTCAAAACCACTTTCCTCAGAATTCTAAATTTTATGCTGGATTTGACACACAAAGTGTGCCTTGCAGATCAGCACCACCTAGAAGTGTTCTGAAAATGCAGAGTCCCCGGCCCCAGGCCCTCTGTTCGAACGGGAGTGTGGTTGCATTAAGTGTTGAGAAGTATTGTGCCGTCTCTTGGTCTTGCTGCTGGGAGGTCTGAGATCAAGCCAACTCTCCTCCCCTAGCAAGTGCTGTGATCTAATTTTATTTTAGTGAGTGTTTTAGAGTAATTCTTTGCCCTTGTTTGATGATCTGAAATTCCCTAAGATTTTTCTTTCTGTTTTTGTCTTTTGAGACAAGGTCTCACTATGCAGTTCAAAGGGGACTTGAACTCACTTTGTAGCCCACACTGGCCTTGACCTCACAGTCCTCCTCCCTCAGCCTCCCAAGTGCTGGGATTACAGGTGTGCGCCACTATGTCTGGTTCCGTACAGTGTTTTAAGATTCTAACGTTTTCCTATGGCATTGATTAATCCCCAGACTTGTATCTTTCTTCAGATCTAGATGACTTCTTATATTTTTCTGGTTTTGCCAATTGTCTGCTTGCTCTCTCTCTCTTCCTCTCCCCTCCCCTCCCCCTCTCTCTCCCTGCCCCCCTCTCTGGGATATCACCAGTTTCCAAGATGGACCATTCATACTTCATATCCTTTTCCTTTTATTTCCTTTCCTTTGGTCTTCCTGATTTTCACATTGGCTATTAAATTCATTGGCATTAAATTCATCCTTTAGTCCTTGGATTAGAGTTTTTATTTTGCAAATGTGTCTTTAAACTACTTTATGGTTCTCTGAATGCTCATTTTTCATAGCAGGCTGTTCTTGTTTTGCAGATGTGATAACATCACACATCCTTAGAACTGCTAATTAGTTTCCGCTTTTGTTTCCCTCCAGCAAGAGTTAGCTGTTCTGTTTATCTTGCTCCTAGTCTTTCAGACTGTTTGTCTTTCCTGAAGTGTCTTATCATCCTTATTAAATAATATTATGGAATTCTCCATTTTTTAGGTGTGATGATTGAGGTGGTTTTATTAAAAAATTTCTTAATTTTATAAAATGAACATCAAAGGTCCTAGGAATGAAATATTTTGATGCCTGCATTACAGTTTCTAATAGTTTTGCACATGTGCGCACACACACACACATAAACACACACAGGAATAGATGAGGAGAAAGTGAAAACTTTAATACACCAAAGTGTTTTTTGTAATGGCACAAGGTGAAGGTCACCTTGTATGTTTTTTTGACTTTTGCCTTGAAATGTCTGCTTAAAATTTTTCATTAGAAAATCTGGAAATATATATACATATATATTTCAATTCTCTGAATACCTTTGACAAAATGCTCCCGAGGGTCTAAAATCCATAAGGAACCAGCTTTCTTACAGAAAAACAGCTGACAACATAAGTTTGTTTGATGGTTGGTTGGTTCTTTCCCTTTCTCTCAGTTCACATTTAATAGAAACTTGAAAAACTACAAAAATCAATGTCTGATGCTCCACTACTTGTAAAGACAGCACAGCTCTGGACAAGGAAGAAAGACTGGTCTTATATCCCTGACAGGAAAGGTCTGGCCTCTCCCACCCCACATATTGGCTAAGACTAACATGTAGCATTTTAACCAAAAAGTAGAAAAGGTTTGTTCTCATGTCTTTCTAATGCAGCCTGACAGTAAAACATCCTGGTGCTTACTTGCTTGGAGAAATGTCCTTTGTTTTTCTGAATGTCGGCCTTGACGGTATCTCTGCCTGGCTCCCAACAAGCAACCACACATCTCGCTATCAGCAGCTTTGAGACAGAAGTCTCCAAGACAGAAGCCACCCTGACCAGGCAGGAAGAGGGTAGCCCTGCATGGTCCTGAAGCAAATGGACTATAGGCCATATGTATTC